AATGGTATTTCAGCCTTTTCATCATATTTTTTTATTTGAGGGACTTTGAAACTATTATTTTATTCGGTGGGTTTCACACAAAAAAGCCCCCATAGAAGGGACTTTTCACCAAAAATCCTTTTTATTAAAATGATGGGTCAATGAAAATTTAATAAGCATCTGAACGACTCTTTTTTTTTTAATAGTTGGTTCATAATTCTGTTGCATTTTTCTATATGTAAACTATACATTTTTTGTATATAATTTTTCTTTATACATTATTTTATATTATTCAATCATTGTTTTTCAAATTTATTGTTCAAAATGTGAAAAAGATTACCTCTCCCATCTTTTGGTTATGTGATAAAATCAAAATTGCAATTATTGATCAATAGAGTTTGGCTTGCCATGGTGATGGATGTATTGATAACTAGTTATATGGTCGTATTTGAAAATATTTTTTTTAAATTGGCAATGCATGGATTTGATTATAAATAAAAAAAAACAAAGCTATGGATTAAGAGTCAATGAAAATTTAATAAGCATCTAAACGATTCTCTTTTTTTTTTAATAGTTGGTTCATAATTCTGTTGCATTTTTCTATATGTAAACTATACATTTTTTGTATATAATTTTTCTTTATACATTATTTTATATTATTCAATCATTGTTTTTCAAATTTATTGTTCAAAATGTGAAAAAGATTACCTCTCCCATCTTTTGGTTATGTGATAAAATCAAAATTGCAATAATTGATCAATAGAGTTTGGCTTGCCATGGTGATGGATGTATTGATAACTAGTTATATGGTCGTATTTGAAAATATTTTTTTTAAATTGGCAATGCATGGATTTGTTTATAAATAAAAAAACAAAGCTATGGATTAAGAGTTCATTTTTTTCACAAGGGAAATTCGAAACACCAATATTGAATACAAAGTATCCTAATTCAATTGTGACAATTACGAGTAATTCTATGTACACATCACAATTACTCTCAGTTCACATCATTATCTCATATTTTTTTTATTACCATTATGTCCCTCTATGAAATACCTTTTAGGACAAAACCCTAAATTTCCTTAACACCATACTAAACACCACCATCATCAACACTAGCCACCGGCACCATCAATACCAACCACCGGTTCTCTCTTCTTTAGCCCAATCACTGTCACCGCCGCCTTTCTAACTCTATGCCTGCCGTCACTACCCTGCAAGTACCACTATCCTCATTGACCCACCACCATTGCACTTCCAAACCCTAACGACCAACCACCATCGCAACTCATCTTCGATCAATGACAGATCACGCGCAATCCATAGAGAGAGATCTGTGTTTGAAGATAGAGAGATATGTGGCATTACAACAACGGAATCACTATTGGTAGAGACTATAGCGGTTGTACATCGTGGCGGTAGGAGGCTGCGATGGAGGTAGGGCAGAGACAGTAGGAGCTACGATTGTAGTGAGGTAGAGGAGGTAAGAGCTGGTGACTAAAGGGACTGGGTAAGGGGCACTAGGAGAGGAAGGAAGTGTTGAGACGGGAAGGAAGAATAGTGGTTATTCGCTACCGGTGGCCAGCGATGGATGGTGGCCAAGGATTAGGGTTAGGGTTTGTTAGAGGAGATGAGGGTAATATGGTATTATATGAAAATTGGTGGTGTGTATTGAAATAAAATCAACATATTTAATTTGTGTGTGGTGTGTACTGAGAGTACTTGTGATGTGTAAATAGAATCACTCGACAATTACAACAATGTTGAGACTCCTAAAAAGTATTTTTTTAATTAGGCGCTTGGCCCCCAAAACCCCAAACGCTAAACTATTCAGTTCATAAGGATATTGTTAAGTTTATAAGGACACTTCTGATATCTATACAACACAAACCATTGTTTCTCACAAACTCACTTCTCTCTCTCTCTCTCTAAAGCATTAATTCCCCGATCTCTAACCACTATTCAATGATCAATTCAATCCAGTTGTTTCCCCTTCCATTGCCACCGAAACCCTAACTTCCGCTACCATTCCTACCTTCAACTCCTTCGCTTGCCACTCATTCTCCGCCACCCATGGTCTTGTCGTCTAGTTCTTCTTCGTAGAAAATGAGTGCTTATGAACTTATAAAGAAAAATAGAGACAATGAGAGATCATGGTATGAGAGAGTTTGAAAAGAAGATAGTGACAAAAAAGAGGTCGGGTCGGCAAAGTTAAGGATAATGATGAGGGTGATAGAGGAGTAGTGGCTCAGATCGGCAATGACGAGGTGGCGATAAGGAGGTTGGAGAAGATCAGACTTAATCCAAACCACTGGCGTTGTCATCGTCTTCTCCAGTCTCTGTCTAGGTCAAATCAAACTTATTGACCCTTCTGACTTAGCTTTGTCTCTCTCTTCTACAGACTAAGAACAGAGCGAAGATGAAGGTGGGTTGTGTTCACCACTCTTTCTCTCTCTAAAACACTCGCTCTCTCTATCTCTCTTCTTTCATAGCAGTGGGGTAGGATTGCAGCATTTGACGATTTGTTCAAATTTCTCTCTAAAAACTAACTCTATTTGAACAAATAAAAAAAATTCAACAAATAAGTTAAAAAAAAAAATTGAACAAATAAGAAAAATATGCTTGGTGAATTTCAACAGATAAAAAAAATATAAGCTTGGTGAGTTTCAACAGATAAGAAAAATAGGCTTTGTGAATTTCAATAGATAGATACAAATTTGAACAAATAGATTTAAAAAATTGAACAAATAAAAAAAGATTTCAACAGATAAGTTAAAATAAAATTTTCATCAGATCGATGGTAATGTCCTTTTGACCAACAAATGTTCTTATGACTCCAATAGTTTCACCATTGTCCTTAAAGACTTATAAAGGTGTGAATATGAATTTATTACTAATTTTCTTTTTTTAATTGTACTCACAACTAGTAATCTCCATGTTCTATGCACAAGATAAAATGAATAAATGATATAGATAATAAATTTTATTACAAATCATTATATAATTTTAATTTTGAGGTATTTGAGAAATCATATTTTTATAAAAATGTTTGAGGTTATATCCTACTCAAGAAATTTTATTCCAGTAAGTCTTTTTAATTTTTTTTTTCTTTTTTTTTTCAAGAATACCCTGCAAATATATGCATATAGCTAAATGAAAAATTATTGAGTGCACTAACTGGCATTGTCATCCACCAATCATCAAACACCATACCTCTAAGGTCCAACACAAAATTGTGAGCCAACCTCTTCTGTCAATCACAACTCTCATGTGGCACCACTTGGCAATACCCCAAGAGCAATAAATAGTTTCTTCTAAGGGGGGCACACTTAAAAATGAAGTTGTGGCACTTATATTTATTTTTGTTCTTTTAAAACTTTAATACTTCATAAACATTATTATACCCATCCGCTTTTAATAAAATTTACAATTTTATAATCTACACAATAAGACCTATCAAATAAGACAAATATTGAGGTCTCATTTGACAACACAATTTTTTAATTTAAAAATCCAAAAGTCATCTAAAAAAACCAAAAAAACCTACTATTTTACCCCATAAACCTATCTATAAAATTCAAATCACGTGGTACCTGCGACAGGTTTGGTAAAATGACCTTTTTATCTCCCTTTTATGTCAAAACCTGCAATTGATGGATTTCTCAGCGAATGAGGATCCTCTCCTTGCAGGCCCCGTCCTTGCGCCCGTCCTTGCAGGCCTTTGGGTCTACTTTTAGGCCCAATTTTGATAATCCGAACCGTTCATATTTTATGATTTATTCAGTATGTCATACCTGTAAAAAATCAAGTTGATCGGATATCAGAAAGCATGTGTTCGGAAAACTGTTTATTAAATTCTTTAAAAAATAATTTTTAGTTCAATTTTTCGAACACATGCTTTCTGATATCCGATCAACTTGATTTTTTACAGGTATGATATACTGAATAAATCATAAAATATGAACGGTTCGGATTATCAAAATTGAGCCTAAAAGTAGACCCGAAGGCCTGCAAGGACGGACGCAAGGACGGGCCTGCAAGGAGAGGCTCTTGACTCAACGAAAAGGTACTTTGACGAACGCCCCCACTACATGTACGCTCTTCTTCCCTCCAATCTACCCAAACATTTCTCTAATTCTCCATTTATAGGTTTTTTGTTTAATCTTTCTGAAATTAACAAACAGTATTCAAAGGTAAGTTAGGGGGTTGGTCAGGCTCCAAACTTTGTGAATTAGCTCCTGTTTATGTTTTCCCATATCAGTGGGTTAGAAAAATGTTAGATGATGTCTTTGTGTTTTGGGCCTTTTTTCGATTTCATTTCTTGTTCATGAATCCCACATGTTGGTTGTTGGTTGTCTTGAAAATGGGATTTTCACTTTGTGAAATGACTAATATATATGTTACATGTGAAGTAATGGTAGATCTAAGGTTATTTGTAGGGGGAGTTGTTCATGCGTGTGTTTTTTTGCAACAAATATGTGACGCCCCAAAATCGGAAACATCAAAGAATATATTAACACATAAATATAGGGTTTATCTAAGATTACGTTACTAATGAGTCCTTTGATTTATAACCAAGTAAGATCCTAGGAAGGTCGAAGTAGTCAATATAGCCTCCCTTCAAAGTCCAACCACCTTAGATAGCAAAGCTACCATTTTGACAGATCTTAACAAGATATCAACACAAGGTCTACATGAGTCGACGATAAAAAAAAAGGAATAGGTAGTATAAAAGATATGTATAGATATATAATAATTACAAAATCATGTCTTAAATACAACATGGGATCTATCACTTACAATCTCAAAATACATTTACAAACTAGTTTATATCCTTCCTAGGGTAGCCGTACATCCTCAAATGCTTCAACTCTGTCTTCGACCAATCTAATAGTCTTCAATACCTAGCATGAAATGCCATGAGCTTTGAATGTCTAGTAAACGCGCACGCACACATCCCATCCCTTTTTACTAGTTCAATACACAACAACATTTAAAGCTGGTATCCTCATTAAAGCTGGTATGACCACTTATAAGCCTTGCAATTCCCCTGTATCAGTTAAGCCTTCTCTTGCTCCAGACTTTGCTCTTCCATTTGATCAACCTGAGCTTTATCGCAATATTGTTGGTGCACTCCAGTATCTTACTATCACCAGGCCTGACTTGTCTTTCTCTGTTAACCAAGCTTGTCAACACATGCATGCCCCCACTATTGCCCATTTTGTTGCTGTCAAGAGACTGTTATGCTATGTTAAAGAGACTTTAGCCCATGGACTCACTTTCAGTCCTAGTTCTTTTGAACTTCAGGCCTTCTCCGACTCGAACTAGGCTGGTGATGTTCTAGATCGTGGCAGTTCTTCAGGCTACTGTGTGTATCTTGGGTCTAACCTTATTTCTTGGTCCGCTAAGAAGAAACCAACCGTCTCAAGATCCTCTACCGAAGTTGAATATCGCTCTCTCGCACACACCACAGCTGAGCTTACTTGGTTAACAATGTTACTCCGTGAACTTCAACTTCACTCTCACATTCCTCCTATTCTTTGGTGTGACAACCTGTCTGCTATTGCTTTAGCTTCCAACCCAGTGTTTCACACCTATTCTAAACATATTGAAGTGGACTACCACTTCATTCGTGAAAAGGTTGCTACTAAACAACTACTTCTCAAATATGTTCCTTCTCTTGATCAAATTGCTGATGTCTTTACAAAGCCTCTCTCAGTTTCAAGATTTAACTATCTTAAAGCCAAGCTTCTGGTCTCTCCCTCTCCCATCAGCTTGCACGAGGGTGATAAAAATCCTAGTTCAGGTGCATTAGCCGCAGCTTCAGATTTGGCTTCTTCAGTTGTCAAGAACAGAGCTTCAGCTTCAGTTGCATATGCATCATGTAGTCAGTTAGGAATTGGTTAGCTAAGTTGTTAGGAGTTAGTTACACTGTTAGGAGTCAGTTACACTATTAAAGGTTAGTTATCTGCTTATCACAACAGTTATTTACCTTCTATAAATACAGCTTGTATGTAATATCAAGGTTAATAAGAAGAAATAGGAAATATCAAGGAAAGGATCATGGCATTTAAGTTCATAGCACAAATTATATGGTTAGTTGCTAGTAGTCTAGAAATCCCCCAAAGAGATTTCGTCCTCCCAACTCCAAGAATTGAACGTGGATTATTCGGTATGCCTCACTTTTTTGCTGCTTTGTTGTAGATCTTACCTCAGATGCCTACCAACGGTTATATATCGCGTAACGCCAACTGCAGGGCCTCAAAAGAGACGGTAATGATAGGCCTTACCCAAATCCCTCCTTGCACCGAACTACCTAGGGTCTAAATACAACTGCTCCATTTAAGGGTTCCGAAACAATCACTTGCACAAGATTTAACTTACCAAAGGGAACGCATCCTACTAACCAATAACTTCTTCTCATAATAATAATAGGGTGATCGAAACCCCATTAGCCATCCCATTAAATTTTCCATTAGATTAATCGTTGTAATTAGTTAGTACAAGCAAGAAGGAAAATAAATTTGCATAAGTGTAAGCATTATCAAAGGACAAAAAAAAAATACATAACCATGACATGTATAATATGATACCAAGACATGATTATATATAAGTAAGCACATTCATAAAGTCAAGAGCACAAAACATCAATGTAAAAAGAATTTACAGATTCAGTTACTTAAAGATCAAGATTAAAAGAACCATTTCAGATTTTTCTCGAACTCAGCCTTCCTATGGTTCGTAGAGAATTTTATATAGTTTTCAGAACATTTCAGAAATGGTGTAGCTTTTCTAGATTTTTAGTTATTTCAAAAATAATCCAGCTTTGTCCAGATTCATCAACCGTTACGAAAATCGGATTTTCTCACAAACCGCTCACTTTTTTTCAACGAAACAAATTTTCCTTGAAAGATATCTCCTTAAGGAAGATTTTGACATAAAATTGAGGTCTAGAATAGTTTTCTACATTTTTATAGAATTTTTAAAAGTTGGCTGTAAAACAGTTTTTTTGGCACAATTCTTGAAATAAGAAAGTTGGTGAGAAAGGAGCTCAACTAGAGAAAATTTTCCACTTCTCTTGTGATAATGTATTAAACTCAGAATTTAAGGTGAAGGTGTACCTTTGAAAATTTTGAGAGATTGATAAAGAAAAAGGTAGTCTTATACCAATTAAGGGAAATACAAGAAGGGTAGAACCAAGGCTCAACCCTTTCATTTTTAACACAAGAATACCGTTAAAACACATCTGAAATGAATATTTAAAACTTCTAAGAGCATGTATTTGAAAGGAAAAATAAGAAAGAGTTGTGTTGTGGCTTACTTGAGACTTGTTGGAATTGCTAGCAAACTTTTCTTCCTCTCCTATCTTCCACCAAGCTCACCCTCCTTCCTCTCTTTCTCTCAGCCAAATATAGTGTGTTTTTGTGTGTGTGTGTGTGTGTGTGTGTGTTCTTGTATGTAAAATGCTAAGAGAGGGGTGGCTTTTATAGAAAAATTGGTGTGGAAGGTCCAAAATGCCCTTTGGTTGGAATTGAATGGAATGTTTTGGATTTAGTTTGAATCCAATAGAATAGTGGAAGTTTAGAGGCCTTAATTAGGTTCCTAAACATGATACCTCTTAATCAAGCCAACCTAGTTATATATACATACATATATATGTAAAAGTTTGTACCAAGTCAAAGATATTTTTCATAATTTATGCAAACTTGTCTCAAAAAGTACATTCATCATATCTATATAGGTAATGGCTGGCCATGGATGGGGATTTGAGGGACTTATTTTATCATTTTTTTGTGTACACAAATGTTTGAAATTGTAAAGTATGGTGTATAAAATAGATTTTAGGGTACAAGTGTATATATATAATGGTTACTTGTTTGGGGTCAATTTGTTATGTAGTGAAAATGTGAGGGCTTTGGGTTTAATTCATGTATTGAAACATTTATTTAAGTGTAGTATTTAATTTAATTAAGATTTAGAACTTCAATTTGGTTAAAGTCTTTTTATTTCGAATTAAACGGCAAGTCGTAATGAGAATCGAAAGCCTAGGGTTTTTGATCGGCAAATATAGTTAGGAAATTAATTTAATTATTATTAGGGCTTTGGAAATGATCCCTGAGTTCCCAGGTTCAATCAAGGTTTGCGAGTTTTCGGTTGGTGCGCGTTTTCGGCTCTACAGCTAAAATTAAAAATAAATAAGGGATAGAGGGTCTATATTGAAATAGTTCAAAAGTAAGGGTCCAAATAAAATTACAAAGGTCAGGGGCTTCATAGTTAAATAATTAATATTAGCGTGTAAGAAATTGTAAAGTATGGTGTATAAAATAGATTTTAGGGTACAAGTGTATATATATAATGGTACTTGTTTGGGATCAATTTGTTATGTGGTAAAAATGTGAGGGCTTTGGGTTTAATTCATTTATTGAAACATTTATTTAAGTGTACTATTTAATTTAATTAAGATTTAGAACTTCAATTTGGTTAAAGTCTCTTTATTTCAAATTAAACGGCGAGTCGTAATGAGAATCGAAAGCCTAGGGTTTTTGATCGGCAAATATAGTTAGGAAATTAATTTAATTATTATTAGGGTTTTGGAAATGATCCCTGAGTTCCCAGGTTCAATCAAGGTTTGCGAGTTTTCGGTTGGTGCGCGTTTTCGGCTCTACAGCTAAAATTAAAAATAAATAAGGGATAGAGGGTCTATATTGAAATAGTTCAAAAGTAAGGGTCCAAATAAAATTACAAAGGTCAGGGGCTTCATAGTTAAATAATTAATATTAGCGTGTAAAAATAATTACTAAACTATCGGGGTCAATTTGGTTTTGTACGGGTTTATTCGCAATGCATCTTCGATTCTAGGGTTAAATCTGTGAATAAACAAAGAACTAAAGGTTTTATTATAATAGCTCAAAATTTAGGGACTTAATAGGGTTAGCAAAAGTTAGGGGTCTCACAAAATATCCGAAATCTTTGCGTATACAATCTATAGTAATAAAAAAATATTTATTTGGAGCTATTTTTTGCATCCATTTTTGCTTCTTGCTCTGCCCTACAAATTTTGGTTAATTTGTCCATTGTTCCTTCATTTTGATTTGACTTGTAACTTGTCAACATTTCTTGAAATGTAAACATTCCATTAATTTTTGTGTGGATGGGTCTGAAATTTTAGGCCACATGACCCCTAATCCAATATAAGCTCTTCTAATCCTTTGAAATGGACATCAAATTGGAATTCAAATAGGTTATTATGATTTGTTTTGGGGCTGTGGCTATATATATCCTTTTTGTGTTTTTTTTTTTTTTTTATCAACTCCGAAATCTTTGCTTATACAGTCAATAATAGTAATAATAAAAATTAAAAAAAAAGTTTGGAGCTGTTATTTGGCATCCATTTTTGCTTGTTGTTCAGGTATTGTTCATACCCGGTTCTATACATGTTTATATGTAATTTTTTTTGTAATGTTTTTTTTAATCATCTCCACTTGTTGCTTACCATCTCTTCTGTCTTCAAAATGGTTGTTTGACAAAATGGCTATAGGCTAGGATTTCAATGTTTTTTGCAGGGTTATTTTTTCTATTCATACCCTGTTTTATATAAGGTTTTTCATATCCTATTTGATGGCACATGTTTTCATATCCTTCATTTGTTCCATTATAACAGAACTTGCTAACACAACAAAAGATGTCTATAACAAAAGTTTCACACCCATTGATATGTTATTGTTATGCTTCTCATATCCCGAAAAAGTCATGAAAGATACCATGGCCTTGATTATGTCAACTGCCACGTCAACACAACCAGCCTCTATGTGTGCTTGTGGCTACGGGCACTATATTGTCAAGATTTCTCATTCTGCAAAAAACCCAAATCGTGCATACTACCAATGCCCTTATGGAGTAGTGAGTACAAACACCTTGAATGTTTATTTTTCTTTTAAAACCATCACTAATACATTTTTTAACCTCAGCCATGTCTCAATTGGATTGGGTGGTGTGATGAATATGGGGCCTCCCCGAGTATGACAAAGACAATGTCACTCATTTTGAGGCTAGTTTCATTGACATTGAACAGATTCAGCGTGTATTTAAAGTAGTGACATGTGTTTTGTGCATCATCGTCGTTATATTAGTGTTCCGTATGTGATATATGTGACCATAGTGCTACCCTTACCCTATTACAAATTGTGGCCACCCTATTTTGTGGGCAATACACTTCTATGTTATGTTTATAAATGTCTCTTTATCATATGTTCCCCCTCCCTGTGTGTTTTGTTACAAAAAATTTTGTTGCCTATTGTCCATTAAAAAAAAATTTCTTGTTGATAATTATCCTCTGTACCAGATTTGACACACGTGTCACTGTTTAGGTTCAAATGTTCATGTCTTGTTTCTTGAATTTTTTTGTTCTAGTTGTATTGTGTGTATAAATATATTTACTTCATCCCATTGCACGCAAAAATTATAGTCGCATGGCATCAAATTGATCCTCCACTCATATCCCTTCCAAAAAATGGAAAGGACAACAATGTTATCATAAAGCTATTTGGGATAGGGAGTCCACACAGATCTTCTTGCAACTTGTACTTAAAGAAATAGAGGCAGGTAACAGGCCACACATAGCAATCACACAAAACTGCTAGCGATCTTTATTCAGGACTTTTGAGGCAGCAATTGGGAGGCTGCATGATATCAAACAAATCAAAAACAAGTATAATCAACTGAAGAAGGAATGGCGTACATGGTCAAAGTTCATGGATTGCTGGAAAGGGCCAACTGGAATTGGGTTTGACCAATTGACTGGGTTGTTCAATGCATCTTCTGATTGGTGGGCAAAAGTGGAGAAGGTAAAGATCTCAACTTCAAATGAATTTACCAAATTTGTTATGTATACTTCATTTTGAACAATGCGGAAATGTGATTATTTCAATAAGAGAATGCTTTCAATTTTTAGCTAAGAGCAACTATATTTGTATGGCATCTGTAGTGTTTATGCCAAACTGTTGTTGTTCTTTCTTCCTTGAATTTCAACTACTTTTCCTTGTTGAAAAATTTAAAAATTCCCAAGATATTGATTTGTGATTATGTTTCAATTTTTAAACAATAAATAAGAATCTCAATCAAACAATCAAACACAAATCAACACAACGATTTAACGTGAAAAACCCACAATTGTAGAGCCTCCAATTGTGATTAAAAAAAAAATCACGGGTCAAAACCACAAAACAATCTACTAAGAAGATAAAAAGAAATTACACAAATGTACCCTCAATTACCTAGCGAATCCAGCCGAAATTGAACCGACTCCAATGTGCTTCTTCCACCACCTTCACCTCAGAATTGTCTTGCCCAACATTGAATCCACAATGTCACTATCGAATCCATGACGATGAGCCACTTCAGAATCCACCAAAACTTCATGCCTAAGTTCCCCGGAATCCACGAAGAACAACTCTCTCTTTTGTGAATAAAAGAAAATAAACAAACCCTTTGATGATGTTGATATAAAGTTCATGGATCCATTGAGCACTCTTAAATCATCAAGAAAACACTCATAAATCACCCTCCAATATAAAACACTTTGTTTTTTTCTTCCTCTCTGAAAATCTGGACGGCCCCAAACCCTAAAATGAGCAAACAGTGCATTTTATAGTAACTTGGATTGCGAAGACCACTGGAGCACAAATTTCACTGCTCGAGCGGTGTGACTAAAGGCGGTGCAAAACATAGAGGCTGACCGCTTGACAACAAATTTTACCGCTCAAGCTATAAAACTTACTTCCCAGAAGTTCAGACGCTCTAAAAAAATATTGGATGATCTTTTTCTTCGATGGAACACAACTTTGACTGCATTTTTGCTTTTTGCTTTTGGGGCACTACCCCATGATCCCACCTAGACGCTGCCCCCGACCCGCCAAGGGGCACTACCCCTTGGACCCCCGCGAGTTGACCGGGCAACTCAATCCCCATACATAGTTAGCAAAGTGGCAAACTTATCAGGAATAACAAAGCCCGGATAAAGAATAAATTCACAGGGATCCAATAATTACACAAATGATTCAATTCGAGATACCAAGCAATTTATCAAATTGCAGAAATAAGTCAACTCGACATATGATAATTTATCCAGAATCAAATACCCAGTCCTACTCAGTACATGACCAGTGATCGGCCTCACCCCCCTCACCCAAGCACAACCACTTATTTGGGCTATTGGTACAGAGCATATTGGCAAAGTCCACTCGATTTATGTATGGAGCATTTCCACGTCATTTAGCTAGACAAATCAACATTTCCAACACAAAATAACTACACATAGTTCATCAAATGACTAGAGTAATCAAAATAATCAACAAAGAATAATTCCACAGAATTTATCAAATTATCAAAATCATCAAGAGGAGTACAAATTGAAGGTGATTAAAATAACACTGTTTGCAAAGAGATTTAAAGAAAGCATATTGTATACTATCTGAATTACCTCAAATCAATCTCCTCTGTCGCCAACACTCTAATCTCAATATTTCTCCATGGATCTCCAAAAATAACTCTGATCTTACTTTGATAAAAGCTAAAACTCTCGTCTGCTATATCACCAAGGCAAAATAGAATTTCCAGATTCAGAACCACTTAAAGATTGAAATTAAAATGACCATTTCAAAAAAATTTCCAAGCCTGGCCTTCCTATGGTTCGTATATAATTTCATCTAGTTCTTAGAACATTTTTTGGAAATGGAATAGCTTTTCCATATTTTTAGTTATTTAAGAAACACTCCATCACTGTCCAGATTCGTCGACCATTATGAAAATTGGATTTTCTCACAAACCACTCACTATTTTCTAATGAAACCAATTTTCCTTGAAATCTAACTCTTTAAGGAAGGTTTTGAGATAAAAATGAGCTCAAGGGAATTTTTATATATGTTTCTATAATTTTTGAAAGTTGGTTGTAAAACAGGTTTTTCATGCATAATACTCGAAATAAGAAGATTGGTGAGAAACGTGGGCAACTAAGGGAAATTTTTCACTTCTCTTATGATGAAAACATGATAAACAATATGTATTAAACTCAAAAATATAAGGTGAAGATGTGCCTTTGGAAATTTGAGAGATTGATATGGAAAAATGTAGTCTTACACCGATTAAGAGAAATACTAGAAGGGTAGAATGAAGGCTCAACTCCTTTCATTTTTAACACAAGAATACCATCAAAACACATCTGAAATTAATGTTTAAAACTTCTAAGAGCATGTATTTGGAAGGAAAAATAAGAGAGAGTTGTGTTGTGGCTTACTTTAAGCTTGTTGGAATTGCTAGCAAACTTCTCTTCCTCTTCTATCTTCCACTAAGCTCACTCTCCTCCCTCTCTTTCTCTCAATCAAATATAGTGTGTGTGTGTGTGTGTGTGTGTATTCTTGTATGTGAAATGCTAAGGGAGGGGTTTCTTTTATAGAAAAATTGATGTGAAAGGTCCAAAATGCCCTTTGGTTGGAATTGAATGGGATGTTTTGGATTTAGTTTGAATCTAATAGAATAGTGAATGATTAGAGGCCTTAATTATGCTATTAATCATGATCTATTTGGGCTCTAGTTAGGATGGAACTTGAGGAGGAGACAAAGTTCTATGTTTTGAGGTGTACTAGTAAACTTTTTCCTTAATTTCATGGATACAGTTTGAAAAAGTTATAACTATTTCTTTTCCCAAGGGTGGCTGGCCATGTGCAAGGAATTTGGGAGATTTTTGTTGATTTTATATATATGAAGATATTTTGTGTACAAAATTATTTATTTAAGAAAGGTACAAGTATATGTGTGTGTGTGTGTGTGTAATGGTACTAGTTTGGGGTCAAAATGTGATTCAAGAAAAATGTGAGGGCTTGGGCTCAATTAAAATATCCGTTTCAAGTATAGAGTTAATAAATTAGTGTTAGGAAAAATAATTCAATTTGTATTATCTTGCTATGAATTTAAAGGTGAATAACCGAACGAAAACTGTGAAAATTGGAAGTTAAGGTTTAGAGAGATTAATCTAAATTTTGAGAGTTAAATAATTAATATTAGAGTGTTACAAATGATTTCTAAGCTTCCAGGGTCGATTAGGGTTTGTATGAATTCATCCGTGATGCGTTTTCAGTTCTAGGGTTTAATTTACGAATAATCAACAAACTAAGGGCTTTATTATAATAACTCAAAATTTAAGGACCTAATAGCGTTTACTAAAGTTAGGGTCTCACACCAATATCAATGGCCCCTTATCATATGGCACCTGTGGAACTATGGCAATTAAAGACAAACTACAAGAATTGCTCAAAAAGGATTTATTAGACCGAGTACCTCCTCGTGGAGAGGACTTGTTCTATTTGCCAAGAAGAAGGATGTGATGTTAAGGTTATGCATCGATTATCGTCAACCCAATCGAGTCACGATCAAGAACTGGTATGCACTTCCAAGAATTGACGACCCTTTTGATTAACTTAGAGGTTCATAGTTTTATTCGAAAATTAATCTCAAGTCAAGGACGAGGATATACTGAAGACTGTATTTCAGACTAAGTACGATCATTACGAGTTTGTAGTAATGCTCTTTGGACTAACCAATGCACCAACAGTATTCGTGAGTCTAACGAACAAGATCTTTACACCATACCTCAACCAGTTTATAGTAGTGTTCATTGACGATATTTTAATAAATTCAAGGTTCAATGAGGAGAATGAACAACATTTGAGGATTATTCTTCAAGTCCTTAGAGATAACCAACTGTATGCCAAGGCAAGTAAATGTGAGTTTCGGTTAAAAGAAGTAAAATTTTTAGGACACGTAGTATCTGAAAAAGGGATTGTGGTAGATTCAACCAAGGTAAAAGTAGTCTTGGATTGGAAGCAACCAAAGACTGTAACAAAATTCGTAGTTTCTTAGGACTAAGTGGGTATTATCAAAGGTTCATTCAAGATTTCTCTAAACTAGCCAAGCTAATGACACAATCGATGTAGAAAGGAGTAAAGTATGAATGGAATGAAGCTTGCGAAAGGAACAAGTGTTTCAAAGTTCATAATTGCATCCTCATCCTATCCTAGGCATTCTTAAGCCATGGTTTAGGCCATAATAATGAGGATATGAATTAGAAACACACTAAGGAAAGAAATGTAATAAGTTAAGTATCTATGGAACGTGTGATTCAATGAGTATTTGTTATGTGTCTATGTAGGTCACTCGTAACCGTCCATCTAATCTGTCTTTGGAGCTATCTGTCAGTAACAGCTTTGTAAAGATATGTTTGCTTATATGTATTTTCTGATTATACGTTAAACTCTGTTTCTGAAATGTTATTTTCGAATTTGAATGAATGATTGTCCAATTTTTGAAATTTACTCGTGGCATCTTTAGCATCTGTATTTAATATCTGTTATTTGTCACATGGTACCAGGATTTTATGTGGGTTGCATTCATGGAACTCATTATGCATAATCAACTATCTGATCTGCAAGTGGGTCTTAATGACCATCAATATGGGTTTTTATGACCAATCTGCTCTGTGTAGCTCGTCTTTCTTCGCGCCCCATTCGGAGAGCTCGAATTGGTCCTACTGTTCGGACTCCTGTCACGATTCTGAATCTAATCTCACAAAATGCAATGTGAGACTGATAAACACCAAAGAGTCCAATCCGACAAATTATTTTGAAAAATTGATTTTGAATCAAATAATGCCAAAACTGGACGGTTGTTCAATGCATCTTCTGATTGGTGGGCAAAAGTGGAGAAGGTAAAGATCTCAACTTCAAATGAATTTACCAAATTTGTTATGTATACTTCATTTTGAACAATGCGGAAATGTGATTATTTCAATAAGAGAATGCTTTCAATTTTTAGCTAAGAGCAACTATATTTGTATGGCATCTGTAGTGTTTATGCCAAACTGTTGTTGTTCTTTCTTCCTGGAATTTCAACTACTTTTCCTTGTTGAAAAATTTAAAATTCCCAAGTTATTGATTTGTGATTATGTTTCAATTTTTAAACAATAAATAAGAATCTCAATCAAACAATCAAACACAAATCGACACAACGATTTAACGTGAAAAACCCACAATTGGAGAGCCTCCAATTGTGATTTAAAAAAAAAAATCACGGGCCAAAACCACAAAACAATCTACTAAGAAGATAAAAAGAAATTATACAAATGTACCCTCAATTACCTAGCGAATCCAGCCCAAATTGAACCGACCCCAATGTGCTTCTTCCACCACCTTCACCTCGGAATTGTCTTGCCCAACGTTGAATCCACAATGCCACTATCGAATCCATGACGATGAGCCACTACAGAATCCACCAAAGCTTCATGCCTAAGTTTTCCGGAATCCACCGAAGAACAACTCTCTTTTGTGAATAAAAGAAAATAAACAAACCCCTTGATGATGTTGATATAAAGTTCATGGATCCATTGATCAGTCTTAAATCATCAAGGAAACACTCATAAATCACCCTCCAATATAAAACACTTTGTTTTTTTCTTCCTCTCTGAAAATCTGGATGGCCCCAAACCCTAAAATGCGCAAACAGCGCATTTTATAGTAACTTGGATCGCGAAGACCACTGGAGCACAAATTTCACTGCTCGAGTGGTGTGACTAAAGGCAGTGCGAAACATAGAGGCTGACCGCTTGACAACAAATTTTACCGCTCAAGCTATAAAACTTACTTCCCAGAAGTTCAGACGCTCTAAAAACATATTGGATGATCTTTTTCTTTGCTGGAACACACAAATGACTGCTTGAGCGGTCAAACAACTTTGACTGCATTTTTTCTTTTTGTTTCCGAGGCACTACCCCGTGATCCCACCTAGACGCTACCCCCGACCCGCCAAGGGGCACTATCCCTTGGACCCCCGCGAGTTGACCGGGCAACTCGATCCCTATACATAGTTAGCGAAGTGGCAAACTTGTAAGCCTCAAGATCACAAAATCTGTATAGGCACAATTCAGGTTAGATTCGCATCTAAATACTCACATCCTTACTGAAACAAAAGAGCGAATAAATCAAAATTTGTATAGGCACAATTCAGGTTAGATTCGCATTTAAATACTCACATCCTTACTGAAACAAAAGAGCGAATAAATTTACAACTGAAGGAAGTTTTGTCAAACGGGATTGTTAATTACAAAAACCTAACACCTGCTATCACTGGCATATCTTGTACACCTTGTGCATAGTATTGAAAATTCATTTTCATAGCTACATTTTGCTTTTCAAGTTGAAACAAAAATAATAAAAAGAAAGGATTTGGTTCCGATTGCTTTATGACGGTGAATAATCATAAATGTTTTTATGGATGCTCAACTGTTTCCGTAACCACTGGAAAGTAGTTAGAAGTCATTAGGAGTAGTTAGATTTTCAGTTACATATTTTTCAGTTACATAGCTCTTGTATAAATATACTCTGTAATTCAGATATTTTCTTTTATGAGAATTGTGATCAAACTTTCATCAATAATCATAAATGTTTTTAACATATTCTGCAGAGGTTTTAGCCTTTTTGGCATTTTCCCGTAATCTTAGTGCATGTTAAAATGATGAAGCATTTTCTATTCTCCTTATCATACGATTCCTATAATATTAATTGTAGATGCCTTACATGAGCGCGCGCACACACACACACATATATGTATATGTATATATGTAGACAGTCGCATACATGCCAATGAACAAAAAAAATCTTTTGGGCGCTTACTCATGAAGGAGAGGGCTAAGGCTTCCAAAAATCTTTGTTTTCATAAAATATAACATATTTATCATTCTGCCTTCTATTGTCTAACCGAATTTTGTTTTATATTTACCACTGAAATTTATAGGTAATAACAGTTGGCAGTTTATATACAAAGCAGAATCCAGGTTTTTATGTCAAAATCAGAAACCTTTTGTGTGTGCTCACTTGCACAAGTGTCAGGCATCCTTTTCCTCTCACTTTGTTCTCCATATAAATTATCATTATTTTCTTGAAATAGGGTTTCTTCATTTCTTATGAAATTATTTGCTCAGTGACCTATAGAAGAATAGACGAGACTATACTCTCTGTGATAGGACGTTATTACTATATTTTTTGGGTATTTTTAGTTCATAGGAATGTAAAATACTAGTTTCCTTCTCAAACTTTTTCCCTAATGCTTTTTCCTGTGTTTTGCCAGCGTCTCAGGTCGGACTGGAGAATCTAGTTGAAAAGCCACTAGGTTGCAATTTGGATGTGGACTGAAGAACTATGGATCCATCATTATTGGATTACATTGGATTGTTATTTTGCATAATTAATTTTTGTAAGGACGGATCTGAAAATTCTAGGACACATGACTCCTAATCCAATATAAGCTCTTCCAATCCTTTGAAATGGACATGAAATTGGAATTCAATAAGTTATTGTGATTTGTTTTGGGTCTATGACTTCTATATATCTCCTTTTTATGTAGTGAAAATGGCTGGCCTGATGCACAAATTGGGTCAATTTTGAATCCTTATGCTATTGTTGTTTCACTTCTTTACAAACTGTTTGGTTTGTTGGAAAGTTTGAGATTATTTCAATTTGCTGTGATAAATGCATGAAGATTGTCTGATTCATGATTCATAATATTTGCTAAAAATTTAACTTTACATTTGATACAATCACAAAATAATATATTTATGGTCCCATTTTACAGATTGACAAAGAATGTTGCAAGTTCATAACAAAAACCCTGGAGCACCCAAAGTTGATGGAGAGCGTCTTCAGAGGGGTTGTGGCAACGAGGAAATACGCATCGACGCCAGGCGAGACTCGCAGCGAATTAGAGCTGGAAGGGCAGCCCAAGAGTCCTACAGATTCCAGGGATAGTAATGAATTTGCAGTTTATGGTCGTCCTAGAAGTTCAGAAACGGAAAACATGATGAACTCTGCCAGCATCAAAGCCGAAGGCAGTGGAAGCAAACAGAAGCATTCATCATGCAAAACTATGCAAAACAAGCACATAACCGGGGATACAGCTTTGGTGAGCAGCATAGATGACTTGGTGAATTCCGTGAAAACACAAAGCAAGGAACTAACCATTAACCAGGTCATCAGCATGCATGGTTACACTATTGCGGAGGCTATTGCAAGGCATTACGCAATTAAGGGACTTAACCCCACCGATCCACTCCTTCATTTCGGGGTCAGGCTGATAGACATTCTGAATAATTGGGAACTGCGTATGAGTATTTCCACGGACCAAGACATTCTCGAGTGGGTACAGGCAAAGAAAGCTGACAAAGCCAGCAGTGGGGGTCCAACCCTTCTGAGTTTGCTGCATAACAAAGGCATTCGGTTTTAAATCGTTACAAGCAACAATCAACAATAGGATTGTTGCTTGTAACGATGTTATGCGTTGTAGCCGGCTTTCTTTAGGTTGAACAATTGTGTATGTTTCAGTGTTTTTTTTTTTTTGGGTCTTTTACTTGGGTATTTTCGTTGGATCGGCTTCAAAACAATGGGACATGGATGTGCTTCATTTTCTTTTCTCTTTCTTTTTTTTTTTTTCAACTTATGCACTGCTATGAGAATCTAAATTTTTTTTTTTTCTAAAATTTGACTTTGGTACTTTATTGCTTATGCACAGGGGGTTGTATGATGTTTGTTGGTTATGCACCACACACTGTTTTTAAAATATTTTGATTTTTTTTTATTGATGTTATGTTTATAAATTATTTTTGTGCTAACCCATGTTTGTTATGATGTTAGTTTATGAAATATTTTTTTATTGATGTTAAGTTCGTAAATTATTTTTGTGGCAACTCATGTTTGTTATGATGTTACCATGAAATAATATTATTGTGATGTTATGTTTATATAATATTTTTTTGCCAACCCATGTTTGTTAACCATTATTTTTTTTGTGATGTTAAGTTTATAAAATACGTTGTGGTAAGCCATGTTTGTTATGATTTTATTAAATATTTTGTTATAAAATATTATGTGGTAGCATATGTTTGTAAAATGTTTTGTGCTATTCTGTGTTTATATGATTACTAGGCATGAATCACGACGATGACGATTATGACGATGCATGCATGAGTCAAATGTTAGATGAAGTCGTAGCGCTGGCAATACAGTGGCAAACTCAAATGAATTGTTCATTTGTTGAAGCTTATAGAATTGCCAATGACTACTACAAGGCGTCCTTTGTTGCACTTCCATCTTAACTGGGAGGGCATGGATAGCCGAATTTTATAATGGTCACAATGGGTGATTCCAATATGAATTGCGCATGCCCAAACAAGCGTTCAATTAGTTATGTGCAACTTTGGTCAACAATTTCGACTTGCACGTCCCCAAGCGTGAGCACGGCTTGCACATGGAAGAGAGTGTTGCCATATTCATTCATGTTCTCAAAAACTTTGCAAACGCGGGAGTTATAAGAAAGATTCCAACACCCCGGTGAAACTATTTCACGGCATTTTCATAAAATACTAAAAGCTATAAAAAAAAGTTCATTGTGGCTCACTATGGGCCCGTCACTAATTTCTAGAGTTGGAGAGATCCCTATTTAAATACCCAACTACAATATTTGCCATTTAACGTGCAGAAAACGATGCTTTAATTTATTGGAAAATGTTGTAGTATGTATAAGTTGGTAGTTATAAAAAATCATTTACAAATTGTATGTTATATTTTGAGTTAATTTCACGACTGCCATTTTCATGATGTGCAGAATTGCTTAGGTGCATTAGACAGGACACACGTCCCAACATACATTAAAGAGTCGGAGGTAGCTCCATATTTCAGTCGCAAGGGGTGCCACTCTCAAAATATATTGGTAGTATGTGATTTCAACCTTTGTTTCGTGTTCGTATTGTGCGGCTAGGAGGGCAACATGCATGATAGCAGGGTTTTAAGCAATGTTATGAAAGATCCATCCCACAAGTTTCCTACTCCAATCAATGGTTTCTTCAATACAAGTTTTCATAAATTTTTTTTTTTCTTTTTTTGAATTATACTAAAGGTCCCTATAGTTTAGGACTTGTGTCACTTTGGTCCTAATTTTTCAATTGTGACGTATTTAATCTTGAATTTTGAATCTTGTTCTAAATAAGGACAATTGAATATACCATTACTCAATTTCAATGGCAAAGTCATCAATTTGATAAAATATAAACTAATTTGAAAAAAAATAAATGGAAAAAAATATTTTTAAATTTTTTAAAATTATTTCTACCCACCAATGATAAAATTATGTAAAATTGATAAATCTTTTACACATTTATTTATTTTTTTTACCAAATTAATTTTTATTATATGTTTAAATGATGATCGTGTAACAAGTGGTTGTTTTTGTTTTCATTGAATTAGTTTCTATTTTTTCAAAAGTCAAATATGGCGACAACTTTGATATCATTATTAAAGCAATCCATTAAATCAAAAAATTCAAAACTAAAAACATTTCATACATTAAATATATCGATTACACATTAAAAACCTATCAACCACCCATTACAAGATCATCATCCAAACACATAATAAAAATTAATTTGGTAAAAAAATAATAAATGTGTAAAAGATTTATTAATTTTACATAATTTAATCTTTGGTGGGTAGAAATAATTTTTAAAAATTCAAAAATATTTTTTTGACATTTATTTTTGTCGTATTAATTTTTATTTTATCAAATTAACGACTTTGCCCTTAAAATTGAGCAATGATATTTTCAATTGTTCTTATTTAAAACAAGATTCAAAATTCATGGTCAAATGTGTCACAATTAAAAAATCAATGACTAAAATGACACAAGTCCCAAACGGACTATTAGTGTAATTCGCCTTTTTTTTTTTTTGGGTAATTCATCATTTTGGTGAATTTTTCTTTAACTGGTACGAAAAATATAAGAATTTTTACAAGTAAAATATGTATACCACAAATATTTTATAAAATAAACAAACACCAATAGGAACATATATTTTAAATCTTCACGGTTTCACTGTATTTGTTTTGGGGCTTTAGTGAAATTTGTGAAAACATTTTGCAAAAGGATATACAAGATTGGACCAAATCAGTGCGTATTGCAACGTAAAAAAAAATCAAACAACTGCAACGTAAAAAAAAAAAAAAAAAGTCAACTATTTAAAAAAATTTGATTTACAAAAAAAAAAATTAGGAAACAGAAAACATTAAAATTATTCTAGAAATGTGACCCACTCAGGGGGGATTTGTTTGCCCATATGTAAATGTAAAAATGTTTTTCACATGTGGACACTGGTAGGGAGATATTATCTGGTGGATAATGGCTATAAAAACAAAAAGGGCTTCCTCGCACTGTATGAGGGGAGCCACTGTCATGAATCTGAATTTCAGGGAGTCAATCTAATTGTGAGATATGTGAGATATCTGAATGAATGTTGTATTTTCTATATCAATTGGTTACAAGAGTGATACTCATTTATAGAGAAAGCACCGAAAGGAGAAGACAAAAGCTATGCATAATAATAAAAGTGTGTGCGTGGTGTTTGGTCTTTACAACCGAAAGAAAAGAATCCTATGCTTTCTATGCTTTGTCCTATAATATATTATACTATATACATTATACATTAACACTAATAACCCATAAAGAATTATTCAATCGCGTCCACTCATCATTGCGGAGTACGATTGAACGAACGTTTGGTGGTTGGAAGGCACGTTGGAAATTTTTGGAAGACATGCTTTGTTTTGATTTTCATATTGTGCAGGTGCCTTCGGCTACGGCTTCCATGGCATTGTATAATTTCATACGCAAAAAACAGTCATGATGATCCATTAGTTGTTTTTGTGACCAATGCACCCGAGTACAGTTATCGAGAGATGCCCGACCGCGATGATTTAACTGCCCTTGACCATGCAACGATGCCCGATGATGAGGACGTTGAGATCGTTCAAGTGAAGGCTCAAATCAAGGCCAAATTGGTTGAAATTACGCGAAATGCTCAATAGTAGTGGTTCATGAAACATGTGTCTATGTCATCCATCACCACTACAAAATTATAAATACATCACACTTTTTATGTATGATGTATGTTATTTAATCACACGTTTTAAGTTTTATCAAAGTGTCATTTTTAGGAGTGCGATCAAAAAAGGTCATTTTTAATCACACGTTTTGAATGTCATTAAAAGATGATTCCATCACACGTTTTGCATGTGATAATAAATATTTAGATCACATCTTTTAAATATGATTAATAACATTTAGATGACATTTTTTAAGTATGATTAATAACTAATAAAACATGTAATAATAAATATTTAGATCACATATTTCAAGTGTGATTAATATCTAATACAACTTGCGATTAATAATGAGTTAAGATCACACGTGATATGCATTTCTTATCACAGTTAATGCGTGTGATAAAAAAAAGGATTCGACATATTTAAAGAATAATTAATATTATTTTTGTTCGCGCATTTGAAGAATATAATACACATTATATACTATCCTTTGAATCACAACCATCTATTGAATGGAATAATGTCATATATTTCATAAATGAAAGTTGAATATTCAAAAGTATGTACAAAGGAATTAATAAAAAGTTTTTAACTATTATTACATATATTAAAAAAAAAAAAATTGAAACACAAAATTCTTGAATTCTTTGACCATATTTTGCATCTCTCCAAACAATTTCTGACCTGAAAAAAGAAAACATAAATTAATTCAGAGACTACTAAAAGCATATGAATAAACTTATTATTTGTCGAGACTGTTCTAGTCTTACAAAAGATAAAGTCAGACATTTTCTCATTTCACTAACTCTTCATCTCCAGCATCAACAAAAAATGAAGAACCACTTTGACTGTTACTAGTATAAGGCTAAATAATAGCAACAACATAGATAAAGCTTTGCTGCTATTTCAATATATTGACTAAATTTAGGCAAATATTGCATGATTATTGTAAACCAAAACTAAGAAACAAACACAACCAAAAAATAAAAGGAAAAATATTTTATCATAATTTGTTATTTGATTTGCAACTAATTCTTATTCATTTTAATTTGGTTTAGAGTTCTTATTTGTGAGATATTATGCTCTTATAATTTTGTGTATTTTTTGTCTTAATTTGTGAGGTGGTGTTCCTTCTTGCCTTGAAAATAGATGTTGTCTAGTTGTGGGAAATGTGTATAGCTACTGTTTCACAAGGAATAAGTTCTGCATCCACTAATTGCAAAAAAACAGAATGAGCACTGCAATCAAACTACCTCAATTGGATTTAACATATCAGGTTATTGGGTTTCCCCTAATGCTTTCTAGCCCTTTAATTCACATCCAAATATTTGACACAAATCAGATACCATAATGTTGTATTTGGTTGGGAAATTTGGAAAGGGATTTGGAAAGGGAAAGGGAAAAAGCGTGCGAAACTAGATGAATATGGGCATGTTTTATTCACATTTCACCTACCTTTTCAATTTCCCTTTCCAAATTTCTTCTAAAATCCTCCAACCAAACACAGCATAAGTGAACAACTTCATATACATGCA